TGGTCAGGCACTTTCATTTCTTTAAAGGCTTGCCATAGTTTGCTGTGGTCGACACAGTCCAAGGCTTTTGCGTAGTCAATGAAGCAGAAGTAGATGTTTTTCTGGATCTCTCTGGCTTTCTTCATAATCCAGTGCATGTTAGCAGTTTGGTCTCTAGTTCCTCTAGAGATCAATACTTAGAATCATGTAAAACCCTATGAAACTAGTTTTGTGATCTCTTCAACTCCAGCTAGCACAGAACTTGGATCATTACATTTTAAAAGTAATTCAGAAGTACCTGTAAAGTACTTCCTTGGTATTTCTGATTGCACATTATTTGAAGGACATTTTGTTTAGCTTTCTTGGTCTGAGGCTGCAAGTGACCTGCAGACTTAGGGATGTGTTGAATAGGGGAGTCCAAAAGCAGACTGCATTGGTATACAGAGAAGACATAGTAAGAAGAGCTCAGGGAACAGGCAAAAGAATATCACAATTCCAGTGAGAATCAGTGCATTAATCACTTACTTACTTACTTACTTACTTACTTACTTACTTACTTACTTACTTGGAAGAGCTCAGGGAACAGGCAAAAGAGTGTCACAATTCCAGTGAGAATCAGTGCATTACTTACTTACTTACTTACTTACTCACTTACTTACTTACTTACTTACTTACGAATGAATGAATGAATGAATGAATGAATGAATGAATGAATGAATGAATGAATGAATGAATGAATGAATGAATGACATTTTTATACCACCCCACATAGTGAAAATCCAGTACAGTACTCTGGGTGGTTGTACAAACAGAAAGCATAGTGAAAATCCAGTACAAACAGAAATAATCCCTTCACTACTCATCCCACCCTCCAGAAACAAATGAAGAAAAAAAGGAAACCAAGCAAATAACAAGAACTCAAATTAAGGACTAAGTGAGAGGAGCTATCCTCTAAGATGAAAAATGAAGTCATGGGTCAAATCAGTACCTAAGGGGAAGAATGTCCTTAAAAGCTTCTTTAAACAATTTGATTTTTATTAAATTCTTAAACATCTGAAGAGAGTGACTGAGTTCCTGACTCCTGCTGAGAAGATGAATGGCAGCTGAAACCCACAATAAAGCCCAAGATCTGCCCTGAACAATTGAATCACTGAGACTAGGAAGAACACAGAGTGAGGTCATCATGTGCTGTTTATCTCCTTGCAGTCCCTTAACCAGCCATTTTGTATAGCTGTAAGGTAACAAGGGACATGGTGGCGCTGCGGGCTAACAACCAGCCATTTTGTATAGCTGTAAAGTACCTGAAAGACTTGTGCCATCATCACTAGCTAGGTTTTGCATTGTACAATTTACTTTTTTCCTTTTTATCCAATTTAGTTAGTTTTCTAAACAACACTTTACTACTAGGGTTGTGTGTGAGACAAACTGTGAATAATCATATCAGGTAGACAATCCAGACATGTAGCAGGCAGAAGTAAGGTGCAGTGCTGAAAACCAGAAGCAGCAAATGAAATAGAAAAGTCATTTTCTGCTGCTGAATTGGTGCAGCATATTTATTTAGCTGTGACATGGGTGACTCCCTTTCACAGCTTCATTGGAAGGACAAGTCTGTGCCCTCCTATATCTGAGGAGGATGGCCAACTGTGAACCTTTAAGCCCCTCTTCTGCCTGTTATCACTTGAGCCATGGTGTGCGGAACCTCATTTTCTGAGGAATAGATAGTGACAGCTCCATCATAGTTGGGAGAGGGCATGAGTCTTCATTGGAAGGACAAGGCTGTGCCCTCCTATATCTGAGGAGGATGGCCAACTGTGAACCTTTAAGCCCCTCTTCTGCCTGTTATCACTTGAGCCATGGTGTGCGGAACCTCATTTTCTGAGGAATAGATAGTGACAGCTCCAACACTGGAGGCCTTCAAGAGAAATTTAGACAACCACCTGGCAGATATCTTTTGATTTGTATTCTTGAATTGAGCAGGGGGTTGGACACGATGGCCTTATAGGCCCCTCCCAACTTCATGTTTCTATAATATTCTGTCAGATAAAGTCACTCATTCTGTAGTTTATAGTTATTTTTCATCACTTAAAACACACCTAATAAATAAAAAATTGCAAAAAAATACCCCTGCTTTTTCTAAAATGTCTCCTTCAAAGCAACATTTTAGATTTGAGGAAATGTTATTTCATACACTGAAAGTTTAATGCGTTTACCAGTCATGTTATTTTTTAATAAACTAAACTTCATTTTTAAGTGATATTTAATAACAGGATAAATTTATTTCTTTCCAGATGGAACAATTACTGAGCCAGACATGTCTGCAAATTTCTGCCCTGATCACAAAGCACCCATGGTGCTTTTTCTAGATCGTGTCTATGGTATAAAGGATCAAGCTTTTCTTTTGCATCTCCTTGAAGTTGGATTTTTACCAGATTTAAGAGCATCTGCTTCACTGGATACAGTGAGTATTTTCATTTTCCCTGGAGCAATGCTTAGGGTAGTGTCCATGTTCAGATCTGTTGCTTGATATATAGTGGTGGTTTAGTGTATAAAACAGGTCAAGCAATTTCCTTTTCTCTGTGATATAGAACTCTGTGTAATTCTTAACCATATGTGCAGCTCCCTCGATAGCACTAGTCTAATAAACACTAGGTACCCTGTGTGATGTACTGGATAAAGTGGTGGAAACTCACTGGAGGACTGGAACTGGTAAAGCCAAGACTTAAAAATATCTGTTAGGTTCGCTGTAAGTCAGTTCCAACTTTTCAGCAGACACCTGCCGTGACTGAAGAGGCTATTTGTTTTAGATGTTATAGGTAACACAAGACTCCAAATGCATAAAGCCTTGGACATTGAACAATAATATATTTTGCTTAGGTGGTAACATGATGAAGGCCAAAGCCTTTTGTATTTGAAACATTTTTAATTTATAAAACGTACTCAAATATTCAGTAATTTCACATATCTTTTATGCAGGTTTCTTTGAGTACTACAGAGACAGCTCTTGCTCTAAATAGATATATTTGCACAGCTGTGTTTCCATTACTCACGCGGTGTGCTTCCCTCTTTTCGGGAACTGAGCATTATGTTTCTCTGATTGATTCTGCACTTCATACAATATATCGGCTGTCCAAAGGACGTTCTCTTACAAAAGCACAAAGGGACACTATTGAAGAATGCTTGCTTGCTATATGTCAGTAAGTATAGATACAAATTCCTTTCCTGTTTCATATACTATTCAGTGCCAGTTGTTGTATAAGGGCTTCCTATTGAAACTTGATGGTAACTCCAGGCAGGTGTTAGCAATGTAGCAGGTTTATTAACAGAATCCTGTTTAGGCACTGACTGAGCTCTTAGTACAGGCCTAAAGCAGGATGTATTTAAGATACGTCTAGTGATGTATTTAAGGTTACATGGTCAATTTGCTGGTTGTTTGATCAAATGACTGCAAATCATTAATTTTGATCCATAAATCAAAACATCAGTTACTGTGTGGAAAAATATTTCTTCAGCTTCAGTAGATGTCCCATGCAGTGTTCCCAGAGAGACATCCATACTCATTGCTATCAGACAAGTGACATACTCATTTCCCATAGAGTCATATTAAACCCAGACACCTACTTATTTGTGCTGCTAGTTTAAGAATTGCCCTAGAGACAGCCATCCCCCAAAATTTGCTAATTATTTGGGGTGGCACCTTTTACTGTGAGACCCTTCAAAACATAGCAACCAATCAGAATTCAACCCCACACCCAGCATTCCAACAGCAATCTGTCAGTCATTCTAGTAGTCTATGCCCGCATAATGATCGTGCATGCACAACTATAAATCATATATACCTCTCTCTACACACACACACACACACACACACAGAGAGAGCTTCTGAATGCTTCTGAGAATGGCTGACGGTCAAATTCCAAAAGATCTCCTGTATGGACAATTAGTTCAGGGAAAGTGCCCCAGAGGGAGACCACCACTGTGATACAAGGATATCTACAAGCGGGATCCGAAGGTCTTAGGAATGGACCTCAACAGATAGGAAAGCTTGACAGCTGAGCTTTCAGCCTGGAGGCAGGCAGTGCAACATGGCCTCTCCCAATTTGAAGAGACCCTTGTCCAGCAAGCTGAGGCAAAGAGGCAGTCCCAAAAGTAGCAAAATCAGGGAGTTGGATGGGGTACAGATTGTATTTGTCTTCAGTGTGGAAGGGATTGTCACTCTTGAGTTGGCCTTCTCAGCCACACTAGACACTGTTCCAAGACCTCTATTCAGAGCACATTACCATAATCTCTCAAGACTGAAGTATGCCTGCAGAAGCTTCTGAGTATTATAATGACAGAACTGCCATGCATCCAATCTCTTTAATGATTTTTTAGGCTTAGATTTCTACGTTGCCTTTTAAAGCAACATCTTTTCCTTGAGCATCCCTTTCTATTATCTTTTAGAAAAAAAGCAATGAGTGTGGGAAAGAGGCAAAGTTCCAGATGCAATGAAAACACCTTACTAGTGTCCCTCTGTACCTTTCTTTCATTGTTTTGCCACTCTAGATTATAATTGCAGAATTGTTCAGAATGGATGAAATGAAAAAGTAATGCTCATATTATATGAGGATAGCATTCAAATAATTATGATTGCACAAAGGATGGTTGGCCTCTTTTATATATTAGTTTCAAAAGAACATGTAAAGTTTTTTTTCCCTTGCTGGAATCTGAAGATATATGTATGTGTTTAGAGATTAGTAGTAATGGAAATGCATTTTCCTCATTTCTGCTGCCTCATAAATGATGATGATTAAAATTTCTCTCCATTGTGTGTCACTGGCTCTTAAGAGTAGCATTTTTTTCATGATATTTTCTATTGTACATGACTTGAATGGATTACAGGCATTCTCCTGTTTTTCTTTTAGGTAATCTCTTCTACTGAACACTTGCACAGAATATTTTGCAATTTAAGCATTTATTTTATTGCCTTGTACGTAGTTTTAGCAAAACATATGCAGATTACTAATTATGACTTCCTTTTTAAATTATAGTTATTTACGTCCTTCTATGCTACAGCAGCTTTTGCGACGGCTAGTTTTTGATGTACCTTTGCTTAATGAGTACTGCAAAATGCCACTTAAGGTAAATATTTCCAATTTCTCATAATTACATTAAATATTTCACTAGAATGTAGGTTTCCTTTCTTTTCCCTTCAAAAGCCTACTATTGCACTCCACTCAATAAATGCACATTATCAAGACTGAAGGCCACATCATTAGATTAAGGAGATTTGTTTTAAAACAGGGGAAGAGAACCTCTGGTGTCTTGTCTCAGTCTAGTTATGAAGATTTCTCACCAGGTGCACAGAAGGTCTAAAGAAGCCCCTATTGTTCTGTCCTCTTATGCACGGGCATTTCCCACTGACCTCCTTTGCTTCCCATTTGAAAGGAAAAGTGGCAAGGAAGAATTTTATTGGATTTTATGGTCTCAGTCAAAGTAGACTTTTCATATTTCCTGAGACTTTGTCTACACATGGAGATAAGAATGGTCTGGATTAGCTAAATGGATTTGCTAGAAGATGTAGTATGCCATTGGTGGGATCCTTGCATCAGAATAGCATACAGACCTCAAGAGAACCTGTTTGGTTTGCAGAAGCCTGCAGTTGATTTGCCAATATTGTGAATTGGCTTAAGAAAAGGACCATTTTAAATTTACTTGTTTAATTTGCCAATATTGTGTAGTGTCTCTGTTCACAATATTGGAAAAATGAAAAGAGGATGGCTAGCTTTGCTTCTCTTCCAGCAATCACATGCACTGGAAACAGCCCAAAACAGAGCAATCCTACCTGCACCAAAAAAGTAGAAGTCTCTGATAGAGGTTAGAAAGATGCAGATAAGATCGCTCTAGGATGGGCTGGTTTGCTCCATCGGTGATGTCATCTGACCACTGTCTCTAGGAGCAAACCAGTCCATCCCTGCAGCAGGCTGAACACCCATGTAGTCATCCTCTTAGTTTGGGAAGACGTAAACCTCCCATACAGACGTTGCACAATAGTGAGGCTTACGAGGCATTTTGCATAGAAAAAAGTGTGTTTAATGTTTGAACTGCTAAAATACGCAGCTTTGAAAAACTGCAAAACATGTTTTAGTTGATGAGGAAAATGCATATGTTATGTAAGGTGCGTACATAAATGCATATCTTGGGGAAATGCATAAGAATCAAATAAATGTCCATGCAACCTCCCCACACACACACCAGCTAAATCTCACAACCCGATACAAAGGAAGGATGAGAAGAAAACATGCCAGGGATTTGGAGAAAAACAATAAAATTTATACTGAGAGGGTTTCATATTCTTACCAGTGAAACATGTGAGAATTCCACTGTTATCTCCAGTTGCTCATTAGCAATAACAGTCTTTTTTCCCCCTGCCTGCTGCCTGCTTTCCCTAAAGGGGATGAGTGAAGCATACCTGCTATTATCTTCAGTCAGGGTCCTGAGATAACACGTAGTGCCAGTGACAGGTGATAACAGTGGGATTCCCAACTTTGCTTCCCTTTCCCTCTTGTCTTGCCCAGCTGAGAAAGGCTTGGATCTGTGAGAAACCAGTTTCTGATTCTGCTGAGTGCCTTGAGGAGTGTTTCTTGAGTCATGTGCTTCAGCCAAGAACTGGCTTTGCCCTCTCTGTACTTCCCTTGATTGGGCAAGGTGAGGTATGAATGAAACCAGTTCCCAACTGAGCTGCATGGCTTGAAGAAAATTCTCTGCTTATACCTGGTCATGACTACAGGATGTTTTTTCTTTGTTTTAAAAAATTGCTGAACAGGAAGAAATAATAAAGAGTCTTTCTATGGATGGCAGCATGGGGGAAATTTCATCTTATTTATTAAAATTGAAATAATCTTCAGTGACCTTTAGAATAATCTTCAGTAGTACTCGGGTCATCATGATTGACAGAGGGAACTTTGAAAAAAGATTTGCTTTGAATAGTTTGTAGTTAACATTAAGTGTGGAGATTAAAATTAAAAGGTTGAAGATAAATTTGTCTGAGAGCAGGTTGGACTAGGATTAGGAGACCAATGTCCAAATACCCTTAGTTTTTTTAGGTGATATCGAGAGAATCACAATCAACTTTATCTTCCTCTCAAAATCGTGTGAGGTGTAAAACAGAAGAGAAGACCTGGAGAATGGATGGAATAATGGTGTAAGTCTGTAGTGTGGCCCTGCACATGTTGTTGGACTTCAGTACCCATCAGTCCTAGTGAGCATACCCATTGGTGCAGAATTATGGGAGTTGCAATCCAATAACATTTGGAATGTTACGGATTGCAACACGGTATGTGCAGTACACATACAGGAAATCAACCTTGAGTGCTCACTGGAAGGACAGATCCTGAAGCTGAGGCTCCAATACTTTGGCCATCTCACAAGAAGAGAAGACGTCCTGGAAAAGACCCTGATGTTAGGAAAGTGTAAAGGCAAGAGGAGAAGGGGGCAACAGAGGACGAGATGGTTGAACAGTGTCATTGAAGCTACTAACATGAATTTGACCAAACTTCAGGAGGCAGTGGAAGACAGGAGGGCCTAGCGTGCTTTGGTCCATGGGGTCACGAAGAGTCGGACACAACTTAATGACTAAACAACAACAACAACAACAACATTTGGAATATCACAAGTCTTCTATCTCTAGTATAAATACTAGTAACAGTGACTATAATAAATTTGGTATTTGCCAATGATTTCTCATTTGTCTATACTGCCTGGTCTCTTTGCTGAAGGCACATACTCCAGGTCTTCATAAATTGTCCAGCAAAAACATACAAGGAACATATGGTAATTTCTGAAGTGGAAAGGGTCTTAAGTTAAACAGCATGACCTTGTCAAGTGGGAGCATTTTTGGTTTTGTATAAGTATACTTTGTAACTAGAGTTATTTGTGAGAGTGATTTCTGTACAATTCTTGCTTTGATTGTTGCATATGTACATGGTTTATTTCACAAAGAGAAGAGATATTATCTTCATGTGGAGACATTCTGTCCAAATTAAAGAGCCGTAGAGGAGAGGGTTAAGCAAAGCATTTAGTGTCCCACTCTTATACTGGAGGTGGGAAAATTTGTGTGGATTAATGAACTCTCAGCAGATTCCTATGATTTATAGGGACAGTTGCAGCAACCACAACTACGGTAATTTAGCAACATATCTTCACCTCATCTGTTTCAGTTGATAGTGTTAATGTGTTTTTTTTGTTTGTAGTGGTTGATTTCATGTTTCCTTATATCTCTTTCTCCCATAGCTTCTAACAAATCACTATGGGCAATGCTGGAAATATTACTGTTTACCTTCAGGATGGGGAAATTATGGAATTGCAGCTGAAGAAGAGCTACATTTGACAGAAAAACTTTTCTGGGGAATATTTGACTCCCTCTCACATAAGGTAACACGGGTAACTCAGGTTAAGATCTACAGAAGATGCTGTAAAGTGTATGCTGTTGTATACACAAACACTTATTTCAAATGTGCTTCCACTATGTTCTGTAAAGACTAAATACAGCAGAAATACAGCTTAATCTGTAAGGAAACTATTCAGACAAACAGGTCCATATGCACCCATGGGTTGAAATCCAGTAAGGTAAAGGTACATTTAGTCCAGTCATGTCTGACTCTAGGGTGCGGTGCTCATCCCTGTCTCTAAGCCGTAGAGCCAGCATTTGTCCGTAGACTGTTTCCGTGGTCATGTGGCCAGCGTGACTAGACAGGGAAGGCTGTTACCTTCCCACCATGGTGGTACCTATTTATCTACTTGCATTTTTACATACTTTTGAACTTCTAGGTTGGCAGGAGCTGGGACAAGTGACGGGAGCTCTTTCCGTCATGTGGATTCGATCTTACGACTGCTGGTCTTCTGACCTTGCAGCACAGAGGCTTCTGCAGCTTAACCCACAGCGCCACCGCATCCCCTTGAAATCTAGTAGTAGGTTGCAACTAGAGTAGAGTAGACCATGAAATCTAGTGGTAGGTTGCAACTAGAGTAGAGTAGACCAGTTAAATCCGTAGTGATTTGGTGAGTCAGCTCCTCCATAAGTTCTGTTGATTCACTGGATGTACTCCAGTTGCAACTTAGTAATGGATTTCAGCCGGTGACTGTGTAGGAAAATTAAGCAAGGAATTAGAATAGCTTTCTGTCTACTAATGTGCAAAACCATACAATTTGTTAAATTGGACTAAATTTAATAAGTAGAGGACTAGATTGGGAGACACTCCCTTCCCCAATATACTTACTTCTCTCTGATTTAATTAATTGGACATGGGGGAAATCTGTTGTCTGGCTGCCCAGATGGCCAGAGCAATGCGCTGAATGGATAAAACTGTCAGACATGTTTGTTTGGACTGGAGCAAAGTGTTTTCCGATCCAGCCCAGAATGTTCTGCTTCAGGGAAATAACACAATATTAAGACTTGCTGAGGTGCTAAGCTATGTCTAATTCAAGAGGCAAATGAAAATAATAATAGCAAAGTTGTATCATTTATTGTAGACATATGGGATGTAACTCAAATAAATAAATACTTGCATATATACTGGTATGTGGGAGAGAATGTGACTCCTGTTGCCTGCCATAACCTAGCAGGCCATAGACTCCTGCCGTAGTAAAAACTTGATATAAGTTATTTCTGCACAGATTTTGTATCACAGTATCACACATAATTATTGTAGTCATCACAAGTATTTTTGCAATATTAGAATGATTTCTATTTTATGTTTTCCTTGTATTTTTAATCAGTTATATTAAACTTGAAGCTTGTTTAGTTTGTTGTTGTTTTTCTGGATATGTTGGAGCTTACTGAGCTTTTATATAATACTGGCAGTAGGCATACATAAGTGGCTGGCTTCGAAACCAGAAGTCAGGACATTGAATCCTCCCAGTCCCTCTTGGTAGAGGAACTGGAGTGCGCATGGCTTATAGGGTTGGTGCCCTGCCACCTGGGTGACCCAGGGCAAGCTGTAACAGTCCCAGACCACTTCAGAAGGATGAAATAGTAAACTGCTTCTGAATAGTTGTTGTGGGTTTTTCGGGCTCTTTGGCTGTGTTCTGGAGGTTGTTCTTCCTAATCCTTCGCCAGTCTCTGTGGCCGGAATCTTCAGAGGACAGCACTCTGTGCTCTGGTGCAGTTGGCTTGGGAGTGGAGTATTTATGGCTGTGAGATGGGCTTTTGTCTTTTTCTGTAGATGGGTGATTAGTGTGTCTTGTTGTGGGTGTATTGTTGTGATAAAGGGGAGAGATTATCTGTCACTGTGGTTGATGGGTGTCATTAGCTGGTCTTTTGTGTGTAGTGATCCCCGGTCCTTGTGGCTGGGTAGAGTTTGTTTACCCTTTTGCACACTGTATTTTTCAGTGCTGGGAGCCATGTTTTGTTGAGTTTCAAACCCCTTTCCTCTTTTTTGTTAAAGTTCTGGTGGTGCTTGTGGATTTCAATGGCTTTCCTGTGCAGTCTGGCACAATGATTGCTGGTGTTGTGCAGTATTTCGGTATTTTGAAATAGAATTTCATGTCCAGTTTGTTTTAGGGCATGTTCAGCTACTGCAGATTTTTCTGGTTGTTTTAGTCTGCAGTGTCTCTCATGTTCTTTGATTCTGGTGTGGATGCTTCATTTTGTG